TATCCTTGGCCAAACACAAAAATTAACTCACAATGGATTAAAGACTTGAAGGTAAGATGTGAAAGCATAAAACTCCTAGAAGAAAACATACGCAGTACACTCTTTGACACTAGTCTTAGAAGGATCTTTTCGAATACCTTGTCTACTCAGGCAAGGAAAACAAAAGAAAAAATAAACAAATGGCACTTCACCAGACCAAAGAGCTTCTGCAAGGCAAAGGAAACCATGATCTAAACAAAAAGACAACCCACTAACTGGGAGAAAATATTTGCAAATCATATACCCAACAAGGGGTTAATCTCCAAAATATATAAAGAACTCATGCAACTCAACAACAAAAAAGCAAACAACGTGATCAAAAAATGGGCAGAGGATATGAACAGACATTTTTCCAAAGAAGATATACAGATGGCCAACAGGCACATGAAAAGATGTTTACCATCACTAATTATTAGGGAAATGCAAATCAAAACTACAATGAGATATCGCCTTTTGCCTGTCAGAATGGCTATAATTACCAAGACAAAAAATAACAAATGTTAGAGAGGATGTGAAGAAAACCCTCATCCAGTGCTGGTGGGAATTCAAACTGATGCAGCCACTATAGAAAACAGTAAGGAGATTTCTCAAAAAATTAAAAATAGAAATACCATACAACAGCTATCCCACCACTGGGTATTTATCCAAAGAACATGAAATCAACAATTCCGAAGGATATATGTATCTCTATGTTCACTGTAGCATTATTCACAATAGTCAAGATGTGGAAGCAACCCAAGCGCCCACCAACTGATGAATGGATAAAGAAGATGTGGTGTATATATATACAATAGAATACTATTCAGCCGTAAAAAAAAGACAAAATTGTCCCATTTGCAACAACATGCATGGACCTGGAGGGTATTATGTTAAGTGAAATAAGCCAGACAGGGAAAGACAAACACTGTATGACTTCACTCACATGTGGAATATAAACTAACACACGGACAGAGAGAACAGTTTGGTGGTTACCAGGAGGAAGGCAGTTGGGGGGTGGGCACAAGGGGTGAAGGGGTGCATTTATATGGTGACTGACAAATAATAATGTACAACTGGAATCTCACAATGTTATAAACTATTATGACATCAAAAAAAATTAAAATTAAAAAAAAATTTTAAAAGCCTGTTTCATTTATCCTCGATGAAGCAGTAAAAATGATCAGTTTTATTAAATCTTGAGTACGTCTTTTTAATATTCTGTGTGATGAACCTGGCAGTATGTATAAAGCACCTGGGCTGTATATGGACGTAGATGGCTGTCTGGAGGAAAAGCACTTGAGCGCTGACCTAGCCTCTTTGCCCATGGAACACCATTTTTGCTTGAAAGAACAACTGACAAATCATGGTTATTCAGACTTGGCTATTTGGCAGACTTTTTCTGAAAAAAGAACTTCAAGGAAAACAATTACCAGTATTTTGTGCCAATAATAAAATTCAAGCTTTCAAGTGAAAATCAGAATTTTAGAAAACATGTATCTGCCACCATGAGCTTGACGGCTTCTTAATACTTAAAGATTCTGATGAAATTAGTAGTCACATTAACACATATATTTATTTTTTCTCCAGTTTTATTGATAGACAATTGACATCACTGTATGGGGTTTCAGGTATACAACATGAAGGTTTGACTTACATATATTTGAAATGATTACCACAATAAGTTTAGTTAACATCCATCATCTCATAGATACGATAAAAAGAAATGGAAAAAAAAAAAGAAAACAAATTTTTCTCCTTGTAATGAGAACTCTTAGGATTTTCTCTCTTTCATATACATCATACAGCAGTGGTAACTATATTCATCATTTGGTACATTACATCCGTAGTATTTATTTATCTTATAACTGGAAGTTTGTACCTTTTGACCACCTTCCTCCAATTCCCTCTCCCCCACCCCCACCTCCTCATCTGCTAACAACAAATCTGATCTCTTTTTCTATAAGTTTGGTTGTTTTTTTTTTTAGCTTCCACATATAAGTGAGATCATACATTATCTGCCTTTGTCTGACTTGTTTCACTTAGCATAAATCCTTTGAGATCCATCTATGTTGTCACAAAATAGCAGGATTTCCTCATTTTTTGTGGCTGAATAATTCACTGCAGATATCAACCTCTTTATCCATTCGTCTGTCGATGGACACTTAGGTTGTTTCCATGTCTTGGCTATTGTAAATAATGCTGCTATGAACAAGGGGGTGCAGATATCTTTTCAAGTTAGTGTTTTCGTTTCCTTTGGATATATTCCCAGAAGTGGAATGGCTGGATCATATGGTAGTTCTATTTTTAATTTTTTGAGGATCCTCCATACTGTTTTCCATAGTGGCTGTACCAACTTTAATTCCCACCAACAGTGCACAAGGATTCCCTTTTCTCCACACCCTCACCAGCATTTGTTATCACTTGTCTTTTTGATGATGGCTATTCTAACAGGTGTGAGGTGATATCTCATTGTGGTTTTGATTTGCATTTCCCTAATGACAGTGATGCTGAGCATATTTTCACATACCTGTTGGCCATTCATAAATCTTCTTTGCAAAAATGTCTACTTGAGTCCTTTGCCCATTTTTTAATTGGATTATTTGGTTTTTTGCTATTGGGTTTTATGAGTTCTTTATATCTTATATTAACCCCTTATCAGATATATGGTTTACAAATATTTTTTCCCATTCCGTAGGCTGTCTTTTCACTTTCTTGATTGTTTCTTTTTGCTGTGCAGAAGCTTTTTAGTTTGATGTAGTCCTGCTTGTTTATTTTTTATTCTGTTGCTTTTGTTTTAGGTCATATCCAAAAAATCATTGCCAAGATCCATGTCAAGGAGCTTTTTTCCTATACTTTATTCTAGCAGTCTCATGGTCTCATGTCTTACATCTAAGTCTTTAATCCATTTCAAGTTAATTTTTGTGGGTAGCATAAGATAGGGGTCTAGTTTCATTCTTTTATATGTGAATATCCAATTTTCCCAGCACCTCTCTTTTCTCTATTAGTATTCTTGGCTCTCTTGTCAAATATCAGTTGACTGTATACACTTGGATTTATTTCTATGCTCTCGATTCTGTTCCATTGGTCCATTGGTCTGTTTTTATGGCAGTACCACACTATTTTGATTGTACATATTTTTAATACTGCATAATGAAGTCTGTCAACATTTGGAATATCTGCGTAACTCAGTGAACTGATAGTTTCCAAATGTTACAAAATTGTGCGTATGTTAAAGATCCAGTCAAAACACAAGATAGACCAATGGATTTTAATGTAACTGGGTATGAAATGTTCATTAATGTCGTTTCAGATTTCACATTACAACTGACCTTTAAGAAACTATGACTTGTCAAATTTTAGAGTAGTACCAAATATCCACGATTACCTAAAAAGGCTATTAAAGTACTCCTCATTTTTCCAACTAGACTTTTGCGTGAGTCCAGATTTTCTTATACACTTTGATCAAAACAACATATCACAATAAATTGAATAGAGAAGTAGGTATGTGAATTCAGCTGTCTTCTAGTAAAGAAATTCACAAAAATGTAAAACAACGCATATCTTCTCACTAAATGTTTTTGGTTTGGAAAACAGAGTGATTTTTCATGAAAATTATGCTATTTATATAAACAAGAAATTATTTTATTACTATTATTTTTAATGAATTAACAAATATTAAATTTCTCAGTTTTAATTTCTAATAAGGTAAATACTGATAGATATAACCCATATAAACAAAAGTTCTTCGGGGTCCTCAATAATTTTTAAGAAATTAAAGAGATTATGAGACCAAAATGTTTGAGAACTGCTATCTTATCATTCACCGTTTCTGTTCACAAAGTTAAAAAGTAATCTATCCCATACATAGCAGTTCTACAACACAGTGAAGGCATTTAGATAGTTATGACTTAGAACACAAAGTAAATGATCTATACCAAACATCAAATTCTAACCTGGTAGAAATGTTTTGGGATGTCCTAGCACATGATCTCCTATTAAGTAACAATAAGCCCCTAGTTATCACGGCAGGGTCATTAGTATGCTCTTTAGGTACATGCCAGGTACCTGGAAAAGAAAAATCTGGTCTAGAATATACAAAAAAACTGCTTTTATATCATTTTTTTCTCTCTTCCCCTCAAAATTCACTTCCAATGGAACTAAGATGGAAGATAATTGAAATTATCAATTCTAATTGAGATAAGAGAAACCTTAGAAGAGATTCTCCAGGAAAGTAAATCAATTTGGGGGCCTACCTAGAGATACAGATTTTCTCTAGAGGGTTTCTGGTTCAGTGTGAGCTGTGTTCTATCCTGCCCTAATGAGAAGACCACACGAAAACAAACTTCCAATTCAAGTTGGGCTCCTCTGTTCACCAAAGACCTTGAGTAAACTAATAAATAGTATTAACATTGGAAATGGCTCTGGACGCCTAGGCTAGCCTCAGAAATAAAAGAGAATTAGAAGAGATCTAGGTGTGGTAATAACAAAAGTAAAAAATAGCCAACATTTTTTGATGTATGTTTTGATAATGTTAATATATGCCAAGCACTGTTCTAAGCATTTTATGTAGATTAATGTCATCTTAATAATACTATGAAGTTTGTATAGTTACCATCCCCATTTTGTCCTGGTATTCACTAGATCTGCAATATGTCACTTTTGAAACTACCATCCTAAAATGCCATCCTCCCTGCCTCCTATTACCCTGGAAAACATGAAGGTACACTGAATTCCATAAAAACTAGGTTGCTACTATCAATATCCACCATCCAAGTAACCCAATAATTATCAGACTAAAAGTCTGATCCTTTTTCCTAAAACAAATTTCTCTTTCAAGATACTGGCTTACCATTTAAAAAAAAGAAAAAGACTTGACATACTCTTTACAACAATAAAATCTCAAAGAAAAGGAATCAAAACTAGTTACCGGGATGCTTTTAGGCACCTCTTGATTGAACCAAGGAAGTATTCCAGAAACATACCTGTTGGAGCCATCTTTCATATGGACTTTGGCGTAAAGAACATCTACCATGCCAGGATCATCATTCATGTATTCTATCCCTGCCATCTCTACTTCCAGGGGTTTGCCCCCAGAAATTTTGCTGCAAATGAAAAAACAGATTTTTATAATTGTTTAAGCTAAGAAGGCTATTATATTTTGAAACATGGTTAATATACAAATATTACAAAATGAAGGCTTCTGTTTAGTAACAACGTTATCTAACCATCCTTCTAATTCCAAAATTAATACACATTCAATGCACACAAACTAGAAACACAAGTATTTCCAAAATCACACTATATTTATCCCAATGCTAATTTATTAGTACTAAGAGAAAGCCAAGCGACGACAGTTCTGATTGACAAAGACATTTACTGTGTTATCCATCTCGCAGATCTTACTTCATTATTTCTACAAGTTGCAAACAGTATTTTACTCATTATAACAACGGTGGAGGTGTAAACTGGGATCACATCTTTAAGAGCAATCTGGAAATACTTATAAAAAGCCTTCAAGAATAGAAACCCTTTGCCCAAGGAATTCAATTTCTAGAAGGCAAATCTAAGGGAAAAAGATAATTATGAATTCAGCTACATATCCAACCACAGTTGAGAAAGGAAAGTTCTTCTTTACAGAAGAATTCCAACTGATCAATGCAGAAGTAATGATGGAATTAGAGTATCACCATGTTACAACCCCTGATGAAATAATGGACCTAGGGAAGATCACAAATGGCTGCTAAAACTTAGGCAAAAGGTTGGAGAAAATATAAAGAGATCCCTTTAAAAGGAGAGCTCCATAAAAATGGATCAGGCTGACCACACCTGAACCCATCAATCAAGTTTATCACACACACAAAAAAGAAAGAACCAGACAGTATGTGCACCTTCTGATATGATGGAACAGGAATATACTCATACTCATGAGAAATAATTTGTGCAAAGGGTTTTGACTGAGGCACTGCTTGGAGCAGCAAAAGACTGGCAACAGGGGGCCGGCCCGGTGGCACAGGCGGTTGGGTGCACGTGCTCTGCTGCGGCGGCCTGTGGTTTGCTGGTTCGGATCCTGGGCGCGCACTGATGCACCACTTGGCAAGCCATGCTGTGGCAGCGTCCCATATAAAGTGGAGGAAGATGGGCATGGATGTCAGCCCAGGGCCAGTCTTCCTCAGCAAAAAA